ACTGCAATTACTGTCAGCATGAGATCTGACAGTGCAAAGCCATTGAGCCCAGCCGAAACATGGCAGACATTCCCTCTGCTTCTTTTAAAATACATCAACTAATTGGTGATGTACAATGGATGGAGGACAAATTACAGAGGACTGTTCAGCTGCCTTGTTAAGAGCCTTCAAATTGTCGATGATTTGTAGAGGTAGATTGCTCAATTTGCAGTTATTCCAGCCTTTGATTATATTTTGACGCCTTTACCATAAAATCAGTTACGTATCAATTATTTTGAAAAAGTCTCTTATAGTGTAAGTGATGCCTTGTTTTCATAGGTGAAAATCTATGACTAAATCTGGCACATTTACATGATGGACTCAAGTGCTCATGTTAATAATGTGAATAAAATAAATGAATAAAACAAATCTCCCCATTAAAACGCCAAAGCTGAAAAATGTAAAGTTGTCCCTCCTCTGTTTAATGCCTGGGTGTCCTTCAGCTCAATGTTCCATATAGAACCAGAAGCTAGCAGAAGCACTGAGGAGCAAGCTGACCTCGGCACAGCCTCCAATATAACCTGGACTTCCTCCCAGGGCAGAAACAGCTGTTTGGTATTCGCCACCATAAGTGAAACATATTCTGTGTTTTGCAGGGCCTGCTCCTCTCTGCCCTCTGATTTGATGCTTCTCATCTTTATGCAAAGCACACTGATGAAGCAGCCACTTATCATTAAGTGGCTGCGGTGGTTATACATCAAGGTTTCATGTTATCAGTTTGTATATGCATTATAAATCCAGACAAAGTGCTATTTCTTAATGAATTCCAACACTGTTAAAACATATTTAAAGAAAATAACTTTAAAATTGTTAGAAAAAATAAATAAATCTTATAATAAATGACCAATCAGTGCAAAAATCTATGCCATTACAACAATAAATACTATGTATTATAATTCAGTCCTATTTCACTTATGGTTATTTTAAGGTAAATTACATGAATTCTATTTGTCCTTTTACATTTAAATCCTGTAAGAAAACAGTTTTAACACAATGGCTGTCACATATCTAAGCTACACTACAAATATATCTTATCTGCTCTCTGTTGTTTCTTCCAATCTAGAGAAACATTTCAAGGGAAGTTAAGAAGTTTGAGCAGAGGATCATGAAGAACAATAAGGAGTTCATGTGTTTGAGTCTGGACCTCCAGCTGAAAGAGGGTGAGTGTATACAATCTTTGTAATATTACATTCAACCTTACTTTCAAGGCAAGGCGAGGAAAGTTTATTTATAAAACACTTTTCTGTACGCGACAATTCAAAGTGCTTTACAAAACAAATTAAAATACTTTTTAGGAATAAATTAAATACATTAAAAACACATTATACAATTTTACAACAGACATTACAAAGCAAAGATAATACAATAATAAAAATAAACACCACAGGTAAACAATACATGTTTAAAAGGCATACTGTAGTTCGAATATGAGCATCTCAATTAAAAGCAGCGGCAAAGAGATATGTTTTTAGTCTCGATTTAAAAATAGTACGCGTTTCTGCTGACGTGCATGATTTGGGTAGATTGTTCCAGAGTGTCGGGGCATAACAGCTAAATGCTGCCTCTCCATGTTTTGTTTTTACTCTCGGAGACGATAGCAGACCCGTCCCAGAAGAACTGAGGCACCTTGATGGCTCGTAATTATGCAGGAGTTCAACAATATACTTTGGTCCTAAACCATGTAATGATTTAAAAACTAGCAATAGCACTTTAAAATCAATTCTTTGGCCGACTGGAAGCCAATGTAGAGATTTCAGAACCGGACTGATGTGATCCATTCTTTTAGTGTTAGTGAGGACACGTGCAGCAGCGTTCTGAATCAGCTGCAGTTTTCTGATGGATTTTTTTGTCAGCCCTGTGAATACACTATTGCAGTAGTCGAGTCTACTGAAAATAAAAGCATGGACAAGCTTTTCTAAGTCCTGTTGTGACATTAGTTTTTTAATCCTCGATATATTCTTCAGGTGATAATAAGCAGACCTAATGACTGTTGTAATGTGGCTGTTGAAATTCAGGTCTGAGTCCATCACTACACCTAGATTTCTGGCTTTATTAGTGGTTTTGTAGTCTGCTGACTGAAGCTCTGCGATTACTTTTAATCGGTCCTTCTTTGCTCCAAAAACAATGATCTCAGTGTTTTGTTTGTTCAGTTGGAGAAAGTTCTGAGTCATCCAGTCAGTGATGTGCTCAATGCACTTGCTCAGTGTTCTAATCGGAGAACAGTCTCCTGGTGTGATTTTAAAATAAATCTGGGTGTCGTCTGCATAGATGTGATAACTTAGATTGCTCTTTTTAATAATTTCAGCCAGAGGTAGCATTAAAAAGCAAAGGTCCTAAGATGGAGCCTTGAGGGGGGAAATAGAAAAAAAGAAAAAGAAACTCCCTCTAGAGAGAACTTTGGGATTTTAGATTTCGCAGACCACTTGCATGCACACAAACCTATATAACACACTACAGGGCAGGGAAAACCCCAAAAAGCGTAATCCATAATTATACATTTTCATTTATTTGGTTGCATTTTGGTATTATTCATATGGATTTGCAAGGTAAAAGTAACGACAATTGTCAAATAAATGTGAAAGTATTAAAAGGTTATGTAAGCATGCAATACATTCCCAAAATAGTATTATCCTTTCAAGTGTTACACTAGCTGTTTGTTGTAGCCTAAACAGGGTGGGTTCCCTCTAGCAGTCAATAATCCCCCCCAAAGTTTCAAAGCAGAGCGCCACATGTTAGAGCACTGAGAAGCAGCAGATGACTCGCAGCATTAGAGCCAGAGCAAAGAAGAGGAAAGAGAGGGAGGGAAGGAAGTGGGGTGGAGCTTGTTGAGCTGTTGCTCCGTGTTATGTGTCGTGTAGAAGCAGCCTGGAGAGGAAAGGAGGAGGTATCCGACGGCAGGGAAAAGATGAAACCCCCTGGGGGAGGTTTGTGTCAGCCACAGGCTCCGGCTGCTCCTCACCGAGCCGGCCCTTTGTTATGCTGATTTACTCAGCCTTTTGTCCAAGACTCCCACAGAGTGTCTGCGTGAGTGAGAGGACAAGAAAGAGAGAAAGACTGACATCGTTTTCAACATTTTACAGAATACATCTTTATAATATTCAGGCGATAGCAGCACTTTGGAATATCATGCTATCCTATTCAATACTGATTTAATAATACAAGTTTATGATGAAACTGAAAATGTTAAAATACATTAATCTTCATCTTCAAGGCAAAGATTTGTCCTTTTTAAAGGAAGTTTTTTATTATTTATCAACTTACCGATATCATTTAGTGTATATTATCTTTGCGGGTGTAGATACTGAAGACATGTATTGGTCCCAGTTGGTTTGTTCTCCAACAACATTAGTCTTGGTGGTGACAGTATGGTTCAACACACAGAACTCTGCACATTTATGAAAAAGCATGAATAAATAACAACGTTACACGTAACAAGGTTGATATAAGTGATATATCCAATCCAATCCACTTTATTTATATAACACATTAAAAACAGAGGGTTTACCGAAGTGCTTCACAGCAAACATAACATTATCATAAAATATAATATTACAATAATAGATAAAAGGCGCACATAAGAATAGATACAAAGCACATAAAGGCTATGGACAGACAAATAAAAACATACAAATTGTTAAAATGTAGCTCAAACTGACTCGAAAGCGAGGGAAAAGAGGTGGGACTTCTGACGGGACTTAAAAGTTTAAAGGGTGGGCGATCATTTGACATGGGGGGGCAGGTCGTTCCAGAGCCTGGGGGCTACCGCTGAGAAGGCTCGGTCTCCCCTGGTCTTTTTCTTGGTTTTTGTGAACTACCAGCCGCAGCTGATTAGCCGACCTCAAAGCCCTTGAGGGGGTGTACACCTGTAGGAGGTCAGAGATGTACTGAGGGGCCAGCCCATTCAGCGATTTAAAAAAAATAACATCTTAAAATGAACTCTAAAATGGAGGGAAGCCAGAATCGGTGTGATGTGTTCATGCTTGCGTGTTCCTGTAAGCAGCCGAGCCACAGCGTTTTGTACCAGCTGCAGGTGGGCCAGCATGGTCTGGTTTAGGCCTATTATATATCAAGACACTATAAATGTTCTGAGCTGTGATATTGTCTACATTAATTGTTCCACCCTCTGTAGAGGGTGTATAGTCATGCATGGTGCACCAACCAAAACAAAAGCAACAGGTTTATTTATTTTTAAAGAACAAAATATCCATTTATTAATAGAAAACACCTTTTAAAAAGCGTGAAACTTCTTCCAGACACACATTATTTATTTTAAGAAGTAAATGCATAGGTCTGAAACTAACAATTATTTTATTATGGATTTATCATTCGGCCTTTAAATGTCCGAAAAATAGTAAAGACATAAACACATTGCAGGATTTTATAGTTGTAGTTAACATAACGACGGTCTGAATCTCCAAGATATTACATTTGCATTGATGAAAAACAGACAATCCTCACAACGTAGAAGCCAGTGTTTTGAGTTTTTGCCTCATCGATTAGAAAATTGTTGATCGAAAAAATTGGCTAAATAACAGAAGTATCGAAGTGTTAAAAAGTAAATACCAGAAGGAGAAAAAATACTAAGATATGAGTGAAGGGAGAAAAAATAAATGATGACACATAGAAGGAACAGATGTAAGGTTCTGGTTTATGTTTTTATGTCTTCTTGTGGAACCTACTGCTGCAGGTCTCCCTTGAAAAAGAGATCATTGATCTCAATGGGATTTTACCTGGATAAATAAAGGTTTTGAATTGAATTTGAATTGTAAGAAAGAGAGAAACTGATGAAATGTGAACCTAATCAAAGGTAAGGCAGAGTGAAACAAGTGTAACACAAAGACAGTGAGGATGACAGAGGGTGTCCCTCTCCCCTGCGCCCAACCCCCGTCTTTGACGTCACAGACCGAGACACACAAAACAAGCGTCTCTGCTGAGCTCCTCACTCGCTTTCCAACCGCATGCTCTCCAGCGCACACTCCCGCGTGCCCTCAGACACGGAGCAACACTTGCTTCGATACCCGCTCAGCCTTCAGCCGGTGTGCGTGGGAGTGCAATCATCTCTACACCAAAACATTGCACTCCAGCATCAAGAAAAGCCACTCTCACTCCTCGGGACTGAAACAAGCTCCTGTGAGTGATGCCTCATCCTGTGTGAGGCTGCCGACCGGGAGCACACGGGAGAAAAAGGAGAGCTCCGACTCGCAGCCCAGACCCCGACCCCGTCCCGAAACCAAAAAGCAGCAGATGTGACAGAGAAGGAGAGGCGGAGAGAAAGAAACACAATCCCCCCCCCCCACCCCTCCTTCCCTCATCTGGGAGAACAATAACCAGCTTTCAGTTGGAGAGGGTCAGCTTTTGTCCCTCTCCCCACGCTCCCACTGAAGAGCGAGGAGCAGACAGACGAGCTGACACATTGACCCGCTGCTTTGAGAGGAGGGGATCGCGCAAAGCAGTCACTGCGCTTGGAAAGATTTCATTCAGTACTTGGACAGCTCCTGAGCAACCAGCCGGCCGAGTGTTTCCATGAGTGTGTAGACAATATTGTTTTTGGTTCGGAGACTAAGACACCACAGATGGAGCCCCCGTGTTCGCTCCAACTCGGCCCCTGTGGCCCCTGTGGCCCCTCTCCATCCCTTGGATCGCAGAGCAGCACTGCCGGCTTCGAGCAGCTGGAGGAAAAGCAGCTCTTTGAGAAGTTTTGGAGGGGGACTTTCAAGGCTGTGGCCACCCCGCGAGCGGAGAGCGTCATTGTGGCCAGCATCACCGCACACAGGAGGGTGACCAAGTAAGTTCTCTACCTTTTCATCACAGTTAAGGAATACACACATCTTGGTATTACTCACACTTTTGAATTGTGTTGCTGCTTCAGTGTAAGCTGTCAAAGAAGGTCAAGCTTTTTTTTTTTGAGGTAGTAAATCTCCTTTGCTTTTACACAAAACAGGTGGTTGTAGAGGTTTTGTCAAGCAGGACACTGATGTTTGTTTGTAAGCAGTTTCCTAAATGTAGCCATGCCAGAATCACTGAACTCTATTGTCAACAACAGGACGGATCCTTGTTGTGTCAGACATTCCCTAGCATCCATCATATCACCCTGTGTTTGTCAAGAGACAGCTGTCCAGTTGACAACACTGAATTAAGATATCTAGGTGGCATAAAAGCATAATTTGAACAGCCTTTCCACGTCTATATATGTTATACTAGCTACTACATGTACACCTTGATATGTTTGTCTCTTCCAATCCAATCCTTTCTGATGAAAATATCTCAAAATATGTCTTTGGTGTTGATTTATCTCCACCCATTTGAATTATCTCCCTTTTTTGTTTTTGAATGCAGCTGGACATTTGACATACGGCCAAACACAGCTGGCATGGAGAGTGTGACGCTCAGTTAATTGTCCCTTTTAAAGGTCACATGGCGGCATCTAAATGCCTCTAATGTCACACTTGTCCCACTCTTTCCACTTGTGACATTGCTTTGTGACAGTCTCGGTTAAAGAAGTCACATGTCACGTGTTTTTCCCCCCTTTTCATCCATCCAACCAAAGGTTAGCCCGAGAAGAAATGAAAAATATCTGCTGCCCTTTCTCTTCTTCATCCATTCCTTTTAATCCCATCTTTGCTCCTTAGTGTGCAATCAACCATCAACTGCTGGCCTTGACAATTTGATCGATTGTGTCATGCACTGCTCTGCCTTTTTTGTCAAATACCATACCATTTTGGCAGTAATACAGAAAACGTAATGAGTGATCAAACAGGTACATCATTTAACACACTTGTGCGTTTGCGCATGCGTACTCACACGCCAAATGATGTAGCTTGCTTGGTTGACCTTTGGATGGTTTTGACACCCACTATCAACTTTCTCTTATGTGAAATTAGCTATGTTAATGAGGATTAGAATGGCCCATTTCATCCTACATCGGCACAGGCGGTGCAACACACTGAACCAGATAATGTGCGTTTAATGGGTTCAATTACAGCAGGGCCATAATGCTGCACATGGCCTGGTTATAAACTATTTTATAACCTTGCATGATATGACAAAAAATAACACTTTACTTGTAAGAATATGATAGAATATGACTTATTTAATCGTGCCCCCAGCTCAGCAATCTAACCAAATAACTACAGCCCTATTTTAAAAAGACAAAAACAACCATAACCTGGTACATAAGATGGAATCCATCGCATACTATTTAGGGAAACTGGCAAAAATCGAATTGAAAGAGAACAAATTAACACAGGAGAAAATTAGCTTCAATGTGGCTGGCCGCCATGAACTGAGCAGCCTTTTTTTGAAATAGCTGGAGACTCTGGAGCGGGGCCCAGCTGTCTCTTCAGCTTTAGATTTTTAAGGAAGGAAACTCTCCTCAAGTGGCATTGCCCCTGCATGGACTCCATCAGGGTGACAGTGACAATGATGGCGGCATGGTAGGGGCAGGCGGAGACTCAACATCCCCAGAGAGCAGACATAATGTTGCTAATTCGCCTGGGTCTGTTTTTAAGACGTGAGCAGACTCCTTCGTCCGCTTTTCCTCTGGGGTCCTGTCTCTTTGTACATTTGCTGAAATGCAGATGGACTTTTGGGTGATACAGATTGTAAATAATAAGTAAAACACAACAAGCAATACACACAGAGAATATAAATACAGGAGAGGACTCAAACTGTTGATTTTGTTCGAGCCGAGTGTGGCCGGGGAATGCTAAGACCATCAGATTGCATGGCCTACGGCTTGGTCCTCTTCCTCCTTCTCTCCGAGAGAAAGCATCATTATTCACCGTGGATAAGTGAGGGGATGAAGAACAATTGCAGTGAAAGTGAGAGGCCATTATCTTCAACAAGCAGAGAGGGAGAGAAGAGGGAAGACAGAGAGAAAGCCACAGAGAGATGTTTCATGTTCAATCAGCACGCGTCTTTCTCTTTTTGCACCGTCCTCACCCTTGCTTTCTGTTCTCCTCCTTCTGTCTCAGTACTGCTGAAATCAAAATGTTAGAGGCGCCAGTGAGCCACAGAGGAGTAATTAGAGTTTTGTTGTCCTCCCCTCTCTGTCCTCACTGTCTCCCCCCTCTTCAGGCCAGTCACTCAGTGCAGGGGAGGAGTTCACTGGCTCTGTGCAGCGGGGTGGGGCTCTGCTTAAAACCATTGACCCCTGCAAGCTGTTTTGTTCGTGGGGGGCTCCTAATTAAATATGCAGGCTGGCTAACTTTGGGTTGTGTGAGAGTGTGTTTGTGAGTGCATTCATGTTCTTCTGTACTGGAAATGTTTTTCAGAAACTGCAAGGGTTTTAAATGATGCTTTAAGCCTGTGTGTGTCTCCGTGCATGTGTGTGTATGTGTGGCTGCAATAAGTGGGGTATTGTCCAACTCAGTGGCAGATGGCAGGCTTGAGCGAATGCAATGCATGGGAGAAGGGAGAGTGTGTTTGTGTGTTTCAGGGGGGTTCAGGCCTCTTACCTCAGCAGATGCTGGTTTAACAAGGAAGAGGAAAAGGGTTTGGAGGGGCTTGTTCACTGACAGCACCAGTGGGAATATACAGCCGGGTGGACAAAAAAGCTGGATCACTAAAGCTGGAAAAAATGCATTCAACATGTTTGAAATGGTCTTTTAAATAATTGATAATTATAAGAAAACTTGTAAACATAGTTACAAAGTGCAGTAAAAAACAAAATAGTAAACAGTTATGGCTATTCTGAGATACTATGAATGGGGGTTCCAAAGCAGAAGGCACAGAGTGAAAAGTGACCTCGAGTAACAAAGCAAGTGGGTGGAACAACTAGGAGACCCCCGCCTGAGGATCTCAGTGGCTCATAAGGGATTAACAAATCAACAATTCCAGAGGCCTGGCCAAGCAAAGCCTTAAATGTACAAGGAACATCTTATAATCAATAAAAAGAAAAACACAGGGAGAAGATGCAGAGATTCAACAATGGGAATGATGGGATCTGATTTGAACAGTAGTCAAACTGAGAGGAAATAGGTTGAAGGAAGTATTATTGAACCACTCTAGTTGCTCAGTTTTTGAATGGCGAGGACTCCTTTTAGATAAGATGATTGTGAATGATGATTGATGTATTTACAGGAAACGCTGAGTCATCCAGCACTCACGGTCAGGGAAACAGCTGAGGAGCGAGGCTATATTTGCATTCTCAAAGGGCAAACAGCTGTATGTCATCGCCATAGATATGAAAATCAATACGGTCATCAAATGTGCGGCCTATTGGCAGCATGTGAATGGAAAACTCAAGAGAGCCCAGAATTCAGGGCTCAATTTAGCAGAATTCGGAAACTCTGGCGCAATTTTCTGAACTGCAACAACTATTGTCTCCCCATTGCACAGGAAAACTGTGTTCACAACTTTAGCACGTTTGGTAGGTCATTGTTGAGCTTCTACTCTTTGATGAATTGATAGTTTAGGTAATAATGTACCTTTTCTCTTTAACATAAGTTTGGCCGAAATGGTGGTTTGTTAACAATATATATGATTGTTTGACAGCTAGAGTTTTTGTCTCCTCAGAATTACTTATGTTGTCATTCTCAAAAAATGCTTTGGTGTCCACTCCCTGTTTAGGGATTTTGTCTGAATGTCTACGTCTGTGTTATAGCATGCTGGCAATTTCCCCCACATAAACACAAACAGACATAAAATGTTCTGAGAGTGAGAATAAATGAATTGAGGATAACATCAAGGAGAAGCAGTCAGAGCTCCCCCTGGGACATAGCGTCTCTCTCTTTCCTTCTCTCTGTGAGAATGACAAACATGATTTAGTGACGGACGAGGGGTTTGTCTGCCGTTATATATCTCTCTGTCTGCAACCCTACTCTTTTCATCGCTGAGTATCTTTACGCGACTTCTCTCCCTCGCCTCACATCAGTATTTCTCTACCTCTTTCTCTCTGTATCTTTTTATTTTGCGTAAACTCGCCCTCTCTGTGTCTGTGTGGTATTACTCAGAGCACACAGGAGGCGGCTGCTGAGGCATGCTGACAAGAGAGTAGGAGATGATACTCCCAGACTCCCCGGGCAGGAATAGGACTTATCACTGCAATGAATTCACATGTAATATGTATTCCAATGTAGCCAGTCCATTTGAATCAAACCATTTTCTTTGGCTTAACACATTAGACATCGTTCCAGTGTGTGTTTGCAGCAGGATGCATTTTGTATGTCAGCAGCTACAATAGAGAGGCTATTAGGTAAAGGTGGTTTATATTTGGCATTGTTTTCTGTATATCTGATACACAGTCACAGCATGTAGTTGCATTAGAAGGCATTTAAGAAATCCAAGATACAAAGGAAGTAAGCGGTGGAAAAGAACAGGAGGAAAAGAGAAACATTTACTTAATTGAAATTATTTTGGAAATGTTTCTTGAATACTTAAATCAAGATTAGACATATGCAATTTAACAAGAAATGTGCATCAAACAACAAACCCAGGTGTTTGACAGAAGGCTTGGTGTTTTTCATTTCCGAAAGGACATTGTAATGCAGAAGCTAAGACTAATACGACTGCTCATTTCTTGTTTGGCTGAAGATATGTTGGCTCATTAACAAATAGAGAGTGAGAGTAGTTTAAATCTTAATGATCAAGCATTTTTGAGGTTGATGGTTTGAAACTACCAAGATGTGTAGAACATCCTCAAATTCCCAAACAATACTGAATCACCCAGCTTTTTCAACTATACATTCAAAGTATTTCAAAACTTTTAACACAACTATCTACTGTAGTCAGCAAATGGTAGAAAATCAACATTTTCCTTTTTTCTGCACATATAAAGGAGTCATA